ACAACTCCTTGCACTGTGTTGAGGTCTTGGAAAGATTTTGGCACTTTGACAACATGGAGAAGCATTCGGAGAAAGCAGCACTGATTGTTGTGATGAACTGTGTAGACTCTTATTAAGGCATCAGATTCACCGTCAGCAGGACGTTGCTTCCATTATTTTTTAAGCAGTCCATGTATAGAAGGAGGGAACTGAATGGTAGAGCATGTTGGCAGCAAATGGGTCACTTTGGCACAAACCAAGGAACGCCATCAGGATAGTATGTAGTGGAGCCAGGGCTTGTTGTTGGGCATTTCCTTCGGTGAAGTAGATGCGTTGACGTTTTCGCGGTGAACTGCCAAATGGACGACTGTGGCGGAACGCTCATGGATGGGGAAACCAAGATTTCTCCAAATGGGCTCATTGCTGCTGATGTATCTTCCTTGGACAAAAGTTAAAGCTCATTTACACTTTGCCCTTCCATTTTGTAAGGCAAAGACAGGCATGTCAGAGCCTTTGATGATGTATTGGCAAACATATTTTAAGGCTTTCACAGAATTGCAGAATTCGACAATAAAGTGGGCCTGGAAGATCCTGCACAAAAGAGGGCAGTAGGGAACGATCCACTGGTTGTTAACCTTAATTTCAGAGTTAGTGCCAGGTCTGAGCGTTGTTTTAAATCCACCATGCTCAGTGTTTCTGTGACGATATAGAGGATAGGCATCATGGTCCGACTGAGTGTGTTTCAAGAAGCTGTGTGGTTAATTCTTGGTACACCTGCGGACTTGCATATATGGCGAATTTGGATTGAACTGCCCACATGGGCCATGGACTTTTTGCTTGCAGACCACATCGAAAAGGGCAGGGTCTTGATGGGGGTCAGTTAGCTCAGCACTAATTAATGTGTCAATGTCACTCGCATGAATGTTTTCCCTCAGCCATAGCAAAATGTGAGCATAAGGAAGACGACGTTTTTGCCACTGAATGGTATGCAAGTTACTGCTGGTCTTTCCAAAGACGCCGCCTTAGTTAGTCGTAATAAGCCTAATGAGGTAATCAACTTTAAGTTTAAAGACCCTTGCTAGGATGTCATGTCTGTCTGTTGGCTTTTGGTTTGGATAAAGCTCAACCTGGATCTCCTTCCATCTCGTATTGCAAGTGAAGGTGATAAAGAGTAATCGGGCCAGTGTATCATGCCCCAACGTAACCCTGGCTGTTTGACACTCTCTCGCTCCCTAACCGGGAGCCCGCACCGCACGCTGTACGTGGTGCCTCTGCGCTAACCAGCGCTCACCTAAGCCCTGCTAGGGCTGGTACTACGCTCACTAACTGGGCTGCACATAATGACAACATATTATCCGCCGTGGCCTCGCAAGCCTGGCACCACACAGTGACATTCACAGCCACTAGACATTTATCTTGGTCCAGCTGTGAAGGATGAAGGCTAAATAACTCATCTGCCCACATTCTGAGCGTTTGCATATCCGTCGATAGCGTCCTTGAGATGAGCATACTTATAGGAATAGGTTTTACCCTTTTAACTGGCACAAAAACTGACACCTTTATTCAAGGCATCATGTTTGCAATAACTACAACACAAGCAGTCAAAATGCAAACAAAAAAGACAACTGATAATAATATGCACTGTCCTTGAATTTGATTGGTCCACACCCGAGACAGCTTTTCTTAGAGCCTAGACTCTAGAGTCTAGTCTAGGCTCTAAGAAAAGCTGTCTCGGGTGTGGACCAATCAAATTCAAGGACAGTGCATATTATTATCAGAGTTGTCTTTTTTTGTTTGCATTTTGACTGCTTGTGTTGTGGTTATTGCAAACATGATGCCTTGAATAAAGGTGTCAGTTTTTGTGCCAGGGTAAAACCTATTCCTATATCTTGTTTCTGGCAAAGGAGGTCTCATAATGAGCATACTTGTGTACACGCAAGCGTTTTTGATTCAGTTGAATGTAAAAATGCGCTCACTCTCAATTTTGGCATTCTAATCCAGAACATACTGGTGAAAGAGGTTGGCATACTGTAATATGTGGTTTCCTCCTTCTCTGTCCATGATCACGAAGGAATAAAAGTCTTTAGAGGAGACAGTTGTGTGAGGATGTCTTTGTCCTGTAGCTTTGATAATTTGAGGAATCTGGACATGGTACCCATCTTGGCCTTGCGACAGTAAAATGTGGTATTGTAGGGCATCATATGCTCTGTTTGTCTCAGGAAATCGTTTTATGGTGTTGTTTTGGTATCGAAGCACAATGTCTCTATTACCATGTTCCTCACCCACCGTACGAACAGCAACCTCAACAAAAGTCGGGGCATTGAACCTCCCTGCATGCTGACTGCTTGAGTGGAAAGAAAAGGTGAAATACGACAAATTTGAAATGGTTGATTTTCGCAGCAATGTAACAAAATTATAAACGAAATGTAATCGGCTGTAGCTAAGAAAGTCCAAAGTATTTAGCAGTATAACATAGCAATCAGCATCGCAGTACTACATATCAGAAAAAAGCGTGACGAGAGCAATCGAAACAATAGAAATGCATTGAAGAAAGAAGCTAGAATAAGTCAACATTATAGAGCAGCAGTACGCACAGTTAAGAAGCAGGCTACAGTCTAGATTATATACTGCCAGTACCGCTGACTCAATTACATAAGCATTGCTATAGTCGACATAATAAGCTGCCAATACGGTCAGCAGCTTAAAAAGCAGGATACAGTCTACATGAAAGGCTGTCAGTACACTGAGGGAGGTAGAGAAGCAGGCAACAGATTATAGACTGGCATACACTCATCCTGCCCTAAAGCAATATTAAGAGTGTAGATAACAGACTGCTAGTGCACTGACGTCAATTAATAAGCAGGCAACAGGCCACATTACAGACTGGCAGTACACTGGCGCTGCTTAATAAAAACACACGTAAATAATTTAATATTTAGCAACTTTATTTGGAAATATTAGTTGTCTACACGCAAACATTACTATTGTAAGATTTGCAAACTTATTTTTATAATAATTGTTTTCTATGTACGTGAGTGTAGCGAACGAAGCAATAAATTAGTCCCTAACAATGGCGTGGTGAGGCCTAGTCCCGTGCAGAGCCCGCAACCTCACCTAGATTCCCCAACCAGCCGAGGTGGCACCTTGCAGGCTGGAGGCTGGGCCGCTACCACCGCCCACGCTACAATAATACTAAGCGCTATAATATAAATATCTACGGACTCTATAGTAGTAACTGCACACATTGGGGTGGGGGGAGAGGAGGACATCACACTGTGAAGAATAAACGTCAGCGTTGTGTATTTTTAAAGCATTTTTCACGCGAATTATATTTTTTGGCGATTGTGTGTGCGTTGATAGGGGAAACCCCTGTCAGTATTTCACGCATGCGCAAATGCGTACTTTGTCCCACGCCAAAAGTAAATAAATAAATATCGAACAAATTCGCTAATTAAACTAATTTAAAGGTGACGGACGTGAAAAAGGAATAGCGCTTGCCAACCGCGGGTCTTATGGCGTGGTACCTGGCACATTTTTTTTTTTACGTAAACCCCACCGTTTGAGAACCAAATCCCTCGCAAGCGCGTGAACACATACAGACGGACACACACACACACAAAAATACGTTTATAGGTAAGATATTCTGTATCCTAATTAATTTCCTTATTTCCTCATTTACAAGCAATGAATTGGTGTGAGAAGCTAGAAACTTAGGTTTAATAAAATAACTAAACATTAAGCATAACACAACAAGCCTAAGTAATTATACGTTCATTTGAGATGCAATTACAACCTGTGCCAAGTTCAGAGATGTTTTTAATGCAGTTCACATTTGAACCATAGAACATTTTACAAGCAAGGTATAATACAACACACCCTTGGCTGCAGAGCAGAATACAAGCAGACCCCCACATCGAGGTGGGAGGATGCAGCGCTGACCTCATTAAACCCTTCGGTCACCCGTCTTGCCCATATACCCCGAGAACACCAAACCGTAACACTACTGTCTCCGAGAGCATTCTGACAGGACGGGGAATGTATAGACTTGGATGGAGCCAAAACTTGGTGAAATTAGCCCATGCGGCAAGGTTCCACGTGTTGATGGGAGCAGTGATGTGGCTCAACAGAAGCACGCTTGTTGTTAATGCTGCAGAGGTTTGCGGATCAAATCCGGCAGGTCGTCCTGTTAATACCAAGGGTGTAACAACCGTCGTAATGCTATGCGCTGTCTGCTTCACAGTGGATATGACACATACCGTGACATAATTCGAAGACAGCAGGCCATCGTGTGCCAGTGTCACATCAATTGGGATTACACACCCAGAAATATTGTCCCCCACTGTAAACCACTACAGGGTTTGCGTGAGAAACAAAAAGGCGTTCCTTCGTGAAAATAAACTTGGACTGCAAGAATGGCATGAAGACTAAGCGTATTAATTATTTGAAGCAACAATGATTCAAAGCCGTGCTAGGTTTATGGTGGTGATTCGGGGACAGTAACAGTGAATGGCAATGCACCTTTCCCCACGCTCCGCCCGGTGGGCGAAAACAGCATGGGATCCACTGTTTGCCACTGGTGCTCATTGGCATTGAAATTAATAGTAGTCGTCTCACTAGAGCTAGAACATCAGTGAACATGGGCCCTCACAATTATAACCAGTTCCATTCTCGGTGTAATTCATTATTATTTGGCTTGTTTGTCCAGGGAAGCCTCACCGAGTCTCAAGACATTCTTTCGTGAGGGTCCTGCTAAGTTTTTGCGGTAGGGGCCAACGTTGTTGTATGTGGTCCCAATCGAGTAATTTGCAGTTAATTGTTCAACATTGGTATGTCTGGCCAATATCGGTTACAAAACATGTTTGTTTAGCTATGGGATGAAACCAGAGAGGCACGAGTGTTCCCTCTGCGCCACCCCGTGCCAATAGTTGTGTGAGAAACATATTCGTGTGGGAAACGTTGCAATGTGGCCCATGAAGTGGTGTCTCATCATCAGCTGCAGCGGTGTCATGTGAGTGACTCACGTGCCCAGGTGCTCCACCCTTCCCAGGCAGGTCGAGTAGCAGTAGTTGTATGCAATGATGATTGACGGATAGAGAGACTGGAAGTCAAGGACGAGCACTGGGCTGCTGTAGAATCGCGACTCGGGCTCCATCACTAGCGGCAGGCACTCAGCGGCTCGCATGTGTGCGCGCTGTTGCACGCTAGGGGACACTGCGATGTAGTTCAGCGGCTTTGCTACTCGCAGCATCATGGACTCCACACGAAACTGACAGAAACAAAGCCAACAAAGCACCGCAGAAGATGCAACAATTCTACGATTATTGTATTATTATTATCCTTGTTTGCTCAAGAAAGCCTCACTGAGTAATAAGCCTCTTTTTCAGGTGGGTTATGCCAAAGTATTTGCAGTAAGGAGTGATGTTGCTGTGCGTGATCCAAATTCAATGTTTTGCAGATAATTTTCAGTATTGAAATGTTTGGCCAATGGGAGGCCCATAATCGAAAGCTGCTGTTGCCGCTGCAGAAGCCTTACCTGGGATCCTCGAGACAGAACCTCATGGAACTGAATTCCAAACAATCTGGCCAATTCGCTCGTTCTGCCAATAAAATCCAACTGGTTCAGCAATTTAATATTCCCAACAACACGGCAGACATAATAGTCAACCATTTTCCACCTGCAGCACACAATATACAAATAGCAATGAGGTTATCCTTTTACCACCAGCAAAGGATACAAAACGATAAAAAATGTTTGCATATTTTAAAAGCAATACAAACTGTAACAAAACAATAGCAAACCTGAAAGGACCGGTTTTGTTGTCGAACCAATCAGATAGTGTGCGGAAGTTGAACAGTGGGTATCTCTCGTGCAACACATGATACGCCACATTCTCGAAGGAGTATATGTTCAGCGTGACCTGACAACAACCACACACGACAGGGATTCTCATGAAACGTCACTTGGTGACATCAGCATTTTCAATATAACTCAGAATATATATTTAAACTTCTTTGATCATTAACTACACAGTGGAACGTGAGCTCATCTGAAGCTGTGATAAGACAAGACCATTGTAGTCCACCTTGATCCTGAGGTGCTAAGAGGGGGAGGGAATAGAGAGGAGACTGTGTGATTATAAGGGGTGGCTATTGGAGGCAGGTGTGACCCATACCCATTGCTTCGATCTTGCCTGGCCATGACCGTTATCAAGGATACAGGGGTAGTCATCAATAATTATAAAATAAAAGTTTTGGAAGCACTCCTGCGTTGTTTTCCTTGGTTCCACTGTGTGATCCTCTTTTTTTGTCAGCTGCGACACGACTCGCTCTCGCTTCCAACACCGGCCAACATGCACAACGACTTTCTGAGGGGGTGACAAGGTTCTAAAACGACATATTGTACGGCTCCCAGCACAAAGGTACGCCAACGGACCTGTAATATCAACGTTCTGGCGTCAAGACTGGCCCTAAATACAGGCCTCCCTCTCATAAACATCCCTTATCCAGTGGTCACGTGACTCTGCAATTACGTAAATATATATTTAACATTAATTAAAATTCCCTGTACATATCTAAAATATAATTTCTAATGTCATACTAATCATACCTATCCTTTATAATACTATGCTTTTCCTACCTTTACTTTGATTAATAATACTACACTATTTCTACCTTTCAGTTGAATTGCCACTTATCCTATCTATGATATTAATTACATAACCTCTCCAGACTACAATTTACAATGCTATTCCTATCCTATCTCGCATTTACAAGACTATGTTCATCCTATAACAATAGGGTTTACCCTTTCTGGCAATAAAACAGGTGTCAAGATGTTAAAACACCAAACAGAATCCTTATTCAAGGAATCGTGTCTGCATAAACTACACGTACTTGTGGTGAACATGCAAACAAAAAACATGCTCTGATAAAATATTTATTGTCTTTTAAAATGATTGGTCCACACCAGAGACAGCTTTCTTTTGAGCCTAGTCTCAAAGTGTTAGACCAGAGAATGTCAAAAGGCAAACAGCACAAAGACAATGCACTATCAGGGCATTTATATGCCAGAATAGATAAAACCTATTGTTATATTTTAATGCTGGAGGAAGATACAAGCTGGAAGACAGTTACGAAGCCTAGGGTCCCTTATTGTGTAATCCATAGAAGAGTTCCTTATGGTGTAACTAATAAAAGTGGTTATTCTTATATTCTTGTCGTCAGAGTCATTACATTAATATTCGAATAAAGTACCGTACATTCACACTTTCATAAATTGCAAACCCATTGCCAACGTCATTTCTGGCAACATTATTAAAGTTTACACCTAGATAAACAAGAGTTCAGTACTGTATAACACTGTAAGTAAAGACCAAAGTACTGTAAATATATTGGACAACTAATTTTCCATTTTTATTTCTCCTATTTTGACCTATTTTAAACAAAAAAAACATGCGTAGTGTAATAAATACTGTACCAATTAAGGGGAAGAAGCGAATATTGACCACACTGATTTCCCCATTACCAGACTTAGTCCGCTGTTTGGGGAAAAGTCCATTGTTGTCTGATCTTCAGACAAAACTCTGATTCAGCAGATTGTCCTTTAAATCCGAGATCCGTTGAATGGGGTCTGTTAATCCCAGGGTTTACTATACTAGGATCTTAATCAGTACTATGATAATCATTGCAGAGCTTATCTAAACTAAACTTTATAATACTATTTTTTATTAATCAATTAAGCAACAAATAACAGTGTAGTGTATCAGCACCGACTGGCGACCAGGAGTAGAAATTACGGGTGTACCCACCCAAGGGGAAGATCTGGGGCAATGGACATGGAAGGGATAATAACTGGGCCAAGGGTCATTGAAGGGATCCATCTTTAAGCTCCCAGAACTAACTAGATGGTTGCAGAAGGGGGGCGTTGCCAGGGCGGGGCTCGGCCCCACTGGAAGGATAAAAGGGGGCGAGAGAGGGAGCTCGAGGATGTCCGTGGGAATCGGGGTCGTCTCGTCATTGCTGCCGTCCTCGTCGTTGCTGCCGTCTTTGTCATCGCTAGATGCCGCCACTGCTAGATAGTTAGCCAGCTATCTCGTCAGCGCCATCGTTGCTAGGCGGTCAGTGTTGTGTTACATACTAGTGAGTGTAACAGTGCGAGTTATGAGTAATAAATAAGGTGCCTCTACAGTTTATTGTCTCCGGAGTCGTACATTACATTGTGTCAGAAGTGGGGTGTTATGCTGCCCGTAATGGAGGAGGAAGAGCTGACGTCCTTACGAGTGGGCCGGTGCGTACAAGCCCACGAAAATATTCAGCAATGGCCCAAGGTGACGGCTTGGTCGGGGGAGACTGAGGGGGCTGAGGAGCCCTCGTGGCGAGAGTTGGAGGTTGCAGTGGTGATGTGGGGCCAGGGCCCGCACAGGCAAGACATGGGCTGGCGGCTTCCAGGTTGGAGTCGGAGAGAAGAGGAGACCTCTCCGTTGTGGTGACCAGCCAGTGCCTGCTTCCAATGCGGCTGGCCGGGCCACATCGCAAGAGGATGCCGGAGCGACATCAGGACGTCGGCAACACCTCCAATGCCCTCCGCCCCGCCGACGACCGCTCCTCAAGCCCGAGAGACAAGTCGCGCCACATCGGACACCCAGCCTCAGCCACCATCTCACGCATCTAGGTCGTCGCCCGTGCCCGGGTCCATCACCCCTCAATTTGTCACGGCGCGTGAACGACGTGTTCTGACTATAGATGGTTGGCCGGATTCCGGTACGAAATGGAAGAAGTTGGTGTGTCGAGTGGTAGCGGCCGCAGAGGGCTAGTCGGTGGTAGCAGGATTTATCCAAGGGGTTGATACGGGTGCCTGGGCTACCATAATTTCAGATGTGATGTATTATTTGCTGCCCTTAAAGAACCATTGTATTAGGCCGGACGCGAACGCGTGTGTTCTTGCCAACGGGGGGAGCATGGGGATTTTTGGGCAAATAGAGGCGCGCATCAGGATCGGTGAGATCGAGATGTCCGGTCCTGTGCTGGATTCAAAGACGTTAGCGGTGCCTTGCCTACTGGGTACCTCCTTTTTAGGCAGTTGCCCTTTTTGCGTTCTCCAGGTAGGGTGACTGTGGCCAACGCCAGGGTCCAAGCACTGGTGAGGGAATCTGTTGAGATCCCGCCAGGCACGCAGATGTTGGTTCCTCTGCGCTACCGTAAGCAGCTGCAGTTCGCCAATTCCGAGGTGAGAGTCCTTTTAACCCCCTCGAACACAGTGCCCCGTGGCCTCACGCTAGTGAGCGCTCAGACGGCTCTGAGGAGGGACCAGGAGCCATTCCTGCAAGAATTAACCGTCGGGTTGGGCAGAGCTGTTGTCCAGGCTGGCACGGTCTTGGCTCACGCGACAGCTGCGGATTTCGAGGCTGTCGCCCCAGATGCAGAAAGGGTCGTGGGCATGGTGGAACAGGGAGGTGAGTTGGATAGCAAATGGACAGACAAGTTGTACGCAGAAAATCCGGACTTGTCTTGAGAGCAAGGAGACAAGTTGCGTACCTTATTGCGGAAATTTGCTGATATTTTCAACCAGGGAAAACTTGATATCGGCCGCACCTCTTTGCTGCAACACCACATTGACATTGGTGATACAGCTCCCATTAGGCAATACTCATATAGGTTGATCCAAAGGGAGAAAGAACATGCTCAGCAGGCGGTTGAGGAAATGTTGGCCACTGACATAATTTCCCCCTCTACCAGCCCTTGGGGTGCCGCCATAGTGCTCGTTAAAAAAATGGACGGGAGCCTGCAGTTTTGCGCCGATTTTTGCTAACTAAATAAGGTCTCAGTAGCAGACGCATATCCGCTCCCCCAGATTCCCTGGACATGTTGTCAGGTGCACGGTTCTTCTCGACTCTCGATTTGTTGTCAGGGTTTTGGCAGCTACCCCTTGATGAGGATTCCAAACCGAAGACTGCATTCCGAACTCCCCAGGAACTATTCTGGGGAGTTCGGAACTTATGGGGTTGCATTTGGCGCCAGCCATGTTCCAAAGACTAATGGAAATGGTCTTGGCGGGTCTGCAATGGGACTTGTGCCTTATTTATCTCAACGACGTCATTGTATTCGGGCTCACTTTTGAAGAGCATTTGCAGCGGTTGCGTTCTGTGTTCCTAATGATATGGGCAGCTAATCTCAAGTTGAAACTGGAAAAATACCATTGTTACAAACCTCTGTGCGGTATTTGGGTCACATTGTCAGCGCTTCCGGAATAGCTATGGCTTCAGACAAAACAGCATGCATATGTGATTGGACAACCCCCAAGTCGGTGGGTGAATTCAGCAGTTTTGTTGGGTTCACGTCCTATTACCGACGGTTCGTTCCTCAATTCGCAACCAAAAGTTTAGCTGGGGGGGGGGGGAAGGAGGAGGCTGCATTCGCCACGCTGCGTGATCACCTTGCTAACGCAATCCGGATTTCTCCTTGCCATTCGTATTAAATACAGATGCCAGTGATACGGGCATAGGCGCTGTCTTGTTCCAGGTAAAGAATGGTGTGGAAAGGGTGGTCGTGTATGGTAGTTGCATCCTGTCCACCATGGAGCAGCGCTATTGTGTAACCCGCAGGGAGCTTTTGGCCATGATATATTTCATACAGTAGCATAGGCCATATCTTTATGGCAGGAACTTTGTAGTTCGCACGGACCACGTGGCCCTTCAGTACTCCTTGCGAGTTGACCAGCCTTCCGACCAGCTTTCGCGGTGGTTGGAAATACTGCAGGAGTACTCGTTCAGGGTGGTTTACCAAAAAGGTCTGCAGCACTGAAATGGAGATGCACTGTCCCGCCTGCCGCCGAGTGAGCAATGTGCATGCTCGGCGGAAGCTGCAAGGTGTAAACCACCAGCGGCTGGGTCGCCACAGGTCGTCGCGGCCTTACGCACGC